ACATTTTTATGGTTACTGGTGTACACAAGTTTCTATGGTTACTGGTGTACGCAAGTTTCTATGGTTACTGGTGTACGCAAGTTTCTATGGTTACTTATGTATGCACATTTTTATGGTTACTATTGTATGCAAGTTTCTATGGTTACTGGTGTACACAAGTTTTTATGGTTACTGCACGTTTTCATGGTTACTGGTATATGCACATTTTTATGGTTACTGTTGTATGCAAGTTTCTATGGTTACTGGTGTATGCACGTTTCTATGGTTACTGGTGTATGCACGTTTCTATGGTTACTTATGTATGCACATTTTAATGGTTACTGGTGTACACTAGGGCTGGGCAACATGGCCTAAAATCACTTTTACAATATATTGAGCAGTTCACCTTGATAACGATAAGTGGACGATAACTGCAACCGCCCCCACCCCCAAAAATAATGTGATAGGCCGGCGTAAATAATTCACAGCCAGTTATATTAATGGCATAATTCCTTTTTTATTGCCACTATAACGAACTTCAAAACTACAGCTTCTGCAAATAAATGAAGAAAACTTTTACTTTATTTTATTTTACTTTTAGTTGTTAATAGTTTTTGAACAAATAAGCACAACTGAACAAATTTAGAAGTATAAAATAACTTAACTTTCCTGTAAACACAATTAAAAATACTATTATAAATGAAATGGCAGCACGGTGGCTCAACCGGCAGTGCTGCTGCCTCTCAGCGAGAAGGTCCCTGGTTCAAATCCCGATCCAGGGGCCTCTCTGGGTGGAGTTTGCATGTTCTCTCCGTGCATGCGTGGGTTTTCTCCGGGTGCTCCAGTTTCCTCCCACAGACCAAAAACATGCATGTTAGACTGACTGGTAACTCTAAATTGTCTCTAGGTGAGTGAGAGAATGGTTGTTTGTCTCTTATGCCCCTTTTCCAGTGTCACGGCGCGGGTCGGATATTTCCGGCTTCATGCACGTTTGAGGTCTTTCCACTGTTCCTGTGACCGGCTCGCCTCCCTAAATTCTGGCCCGGCTTCTCAAGGGGTCCAATCGAGCTGAGCCGTGACGTCAGAAACACTGTCGGTCATTGATTGGTCGGGGGGAGGAGTCTGTGGAGTCTTTCCAAACAACCCGATCCACCATTTTTTTCTCTACCGCTTGCCATTAGCGATAACACGAGGAGCGTATCTTTTAGTATTTTGAAGCTATAAAAACAATAACATCAAAGCCGTGGTCAAATGCAGAAGTGCAGGTGTTGTTGTGCTTGGTGGCCGACGAAAAAAGTCAAAGCGAGCTAGATGGAGCGATTGGAGGGTGGTTTGGACACGGCCACTGCTCTACTTGAATCATTTACAGAAGATGGTGAGTGTTTTCTAACTTTAAACATATTTTAAGTTACTCATCCTATCGGTTCTGAACATATTTTTAACTAACAAAAGAGGCTGACGCCATAATAGGACAACGTCGGTGCTA